CTCAGGGACCTGAATACCGATTTCGGACGAGTTTCCCGTGAACATCTTGCCAATCACCGCTACCGAAGATACGGCTGCATATGTGTACTCATATATCCATGCAGCATCACGGCCGCTTCATACCAATCCCTTCGCTTCATAATTTGCTTAGCAAATGAATCAATACGAGCGTCAGGAACGGTCGTCCATTTGTGGGCGGGCGGGCGTGGTGGGCGTTCGGGTCGGTATGTTGTGGCTTGATAGGGCCTTATAAGGGCACCTTCCTTGGAAAAGGCGCTATGCAGCGCCTGCTCAGGGTCGCGGAATTCCGTCCTGCCAGGCGTATTAATCCTACTCGTCTTGGGGGATTTATCGTGCCAACCTTTAATGTGAATCTACAAAACCTTTTCCTCAAAAAATTTACGCCTTTTGTGAGTATACAGTCTTGAGCGGTCTTTTGCGGGATATCCTGCGTACCACAGTAATACATCAAAGAAATGAATAAAAAAGCAATGAATGAACACATCAGTGAGCAGTTAGTATACGGTAGCAAATTTCTTCTGAAAGAAACCGCGTCATTAGATAAACATGCACAACAGGCTAGATAAGACTGACGTGAGTGCCAAAGCCCTGGGGGAGGGAGGCATGCAACGAGAGCAGGCTGCGTCCTTTCTGCGCCTTTCCATGGTTGAGCCCGTTCGGGGTGGATATTGCCCCCGTGGGGGGGGGGGTGCATACAATCCCATTTGGTGAATGGAATGCCTCCATGATTCTATGCAATCAACTATCACCTCAATCGACATTGAAACAACTTAAATGATGAGCAAATTGCGCTATGACTCTGGAATTTGAGGGTAACTCCGTTTAACCTTGATGTAACCTGTAAGTATCACAGAGCTATTATCAAATCATGACGTGGGTTTTTTGATGATTACAAGGCTTGATAGGCAGAACTCCTTGAATGATTAAAAGCATCTATATGCCTCGCTGCTGAATATACGGAAAAAGAGTTCTTATTTAATTCTATCAGGTTTGAGCATCCGAATAATGAAGCTCAAGAAATAATATATATTACTTAGGTACAGTCATGAACCCTGCAAACGATAGGGCGGTGACGGAGGCGGCTTGGAGCACATTCAGGGCAGAGGTTCCAATAAAGAGGCCGTCCTCAGATCGCCTTAAAGACAGCTCCCGCGATAAAAGTCTCATGGATAGCTGCTTTCCAATTATGAAACAGCAGCTGATAAGTAATCTCCCAAAGAAAACAGGCAAGAAGCGTTCTCCAGAAACATACTACAAATCGCTCCTCACAGTTACACCCTGCGGTCTCTGTGCAGCCCCTAGCTCACAAGTCTCTCTATCACATCTCGCAGTAGTTGATATCATCCAGTGCAAAAGAAAGAATACAAAAAGAAAACAACAAAAACGCAGAGGAAAACTGGGGGAAAAAAGGAATTTTATCAACACGGTGTCTGAATTTGTGATTACGGTAGCGCACCTTTTGTGCGTCGTGGTTTTGCATCACGAAAATTGCGTCACTCGTGTTTTTTACGCGTTTCACCTCGCGAAATGGGTTGAATTGAATGTATACCTCCAATGAGTAAACTGTAATGAAGGAGAGCAGAATTATCCAGGGCATTAGCAATGCCCCGCCGCCCCAACTAAGAACAAGTGAGTGGCCTCCGTCGGAGGACATCTAGCAAGTAAAGGCGGTCCGACTGAGGAGGAGTTAGAACTAGCACTTTGAGCGGCTATAGGCAGCTCACGCTCACAATAGAGTCGCGAAAGGTGAACAGTCTTCTAGCTTGGAGGCTAGACTACTTGCACAGCAAAGGCGACCACGAGCCACTTTGATCGCGGGGGCTGTCTTTAAATTGGTGGCGAACCTGCCCTGGTTGCGCTCCAATCTACACCGCATCATACGCCCTAGCCATTTGCAGGGATCAAGACTGTACACCAGTTTCATTCCAAAGGGAACATAGGAACTTTGGTGAATGTTATGATGAGCGAAACTTCTAGCTGGCTCAGCTTGTAGATGGATGGTGTATAATTTTATCCCGTATTATGCGATTATTCTAGATCTTGAGATAAGATAACAGAACTATGATATCACATCAGCATTGTTCATAGGCACTTAAGAAACGATAACATTTGCCTCGGCTCGTTAATGCGTAGGATCTCAGCAGAAATTTTTTGAAGCCGTATCGCAGCCGGACGAAAAATCAAGGTAGAGGGTGTACTATATTGGGGAATGGTGACTTTGAATGAGGTGGAGTGCTATCTTGATGTTTTTCTTTTTAAGGATCAAAAATTCAAGGGCCACTCTGGTCGTCTGCGCTCTTCTGAGGGTGAGCCTGGGTAAAGGAAGGGATCACTACTTTGGTGAGGTACACACAAGTAATGTTGTTAGTCACGTCACCACATATTCCCTTCCGTCTAGATTAGAGCGGAAAGTTCTACAGCACTGATGGAGGAAGCATATGATAACCCGATATTTGTCCCGCTTTGTACCTAATAATTG